GAGCCTCTTAACAAACATGCACAAATACTAAGATACTAGAGAATTGAAATATTATATCTTGAAATTAAAATTAACGATATTCCCTTAAATATTTAAGTTCAAATCATCAGTGTAATTACTAAATAGCATTTATACACAAATTCATGTAAACTTAGTTAGATAGTTTGTTATAGAAGAACTGTTGTTTTGTTTTCCAGCAACTGTACAGCGTCCACCTGGCAGATCACACTGAGGACTGCACTGTGCAGCTGGCTGACCACATCAAGGTACTTCAGTTTCTTCAGTGGTGGAATATTTCTGTTCAGCAAAGTCAAGCATCGCAGTAGGGTTTACTAACTTCATCCATGCCACCCTCTCACCTCCAGTTTACCCAGAGTGCCCTGGACTGTATGGGAGTGGAAGTGGCTCGTCTGCGGGCGTTCCTGGCAGCAGGTCAGGAGAGTTCTGGTCTCACTGTGCTTCTGAAGGACTTGGACACTTCCTGCTCTGATATCAGACAGTTCTGTAAGAAGATCCGCCGTCGTATGCCTGGAACAGATGTGGTTGGAGTACCGGCTGCTCTCAATTTTGGATCACCGGTATAAAAAAACACATGCATATATGCTCAGTAACATACATATGCATAGTTAATGGCTGTATGACGCTCAAGAAGTTTTCTTTTATCCCTTGTATGAATGAGACACTGTCCAACGATTATTGGCCTTCTAACACACACACATAAACATTACTGATCTACAGTATATGTGTGACTGACATGTCTTGTCTCATCTGGCAGGTATCAGAGACACTGACAGAGTGCAGGCGTCAGCTGACCCGTGTGGTGGCCGTGCTGCAGGAGGTGGCTGCAGCTGGAGCTCAGATGGTTGCTTCTCTGGCAGAACAGGAGGGTCTCAATGCTCTCAAACTGGAGGACATCGCCTTCAAGGCTGTGGAGCAGGTACTGTGAATAATCATTTGACTGTCACTCAGATGCAAGCTAATGAATGATGCCCTGCAACACTCAGCAACTAGCAGTTACAACACTCAATTTTGCCTTAGGAATATAAAGATAAAAAATGTTAGTTTTGGGTCAAGTGGATGTGGACAGTTGGTTTTAGGTTGCCGCTGGGTTTTTGGATTATCTCCTGTTCTTTTTATCTGTGGCTAAACTCTTTTCTCCACCAAGGTATATGGCTCCCATGGCGTGAGTGGCCCGGAGTGTCTGCGTCAGTCCTGCAGCTCCGTCATTGCCACCATGAACAAGATGGCTACGGCCATGCAGGAGGGAGAGTATGATGCTGACAAACCTCAGGGCAAGGTATTTGTATGCCTTTGCTTTTTCACACTGCTGTATCACATAAGTCAGACACTGAAGTCCAACCATATTTCTGCTGTTTGTCACTTCTTCCCCATTCAAATTCTCACCTTGTTATCATATTCCTCCTGCGCCCTCAGAGTCCTCCTGTGGAGATGAGAGCAGCCACCGTCAGGGCCGAGATGACTGACGCTGAGGGTCTAGGAGTTAAACTAGAGGACAGAGAGACGGTCATTAAAGAGCTCAAGAAGTCTCTCAAGATCAAGGTAACATGGTGAAGAAAACACCTGGAAGAAAAATGACTGAGAAATCAAGTTTTTTGAAAGAATGAAAGAATGAAATGAATGAATGAAAGAATCTGTAACAGAGCAGGTATAACTGATGTGGCTGTACCTCTCTCCCCCAGGGTGAGGAGCTGAGTGAGGCCAACGTCCGTCTGAGCCTGCTGGAGAAGAAGCTGGACACCTCCACCAAAGACGCAGATGAACGGGTGGAGAAGATTCAGACCAAACTGGACGAGAACCTCAATCTGCTGAAGAAGAAAGAAAAGTAAGAACCATAAGAAGCAAACAGAAGTAATTAACAGATTTCAACACTGGAGGCAGATTCCAGTTTTTCATCTTACTCACACTTGCCCTTTTTCTCTCTTATGCTTCCTATTTTCCTCCTCACTCACACTCTTTTCTCTTTGTCTTCAGGGAGTTTGAGGAGACGATGGATGCTCTGCAGGCTGATATTGACCAGCTGGAGGCGGAGAAGGCAGAGCTGAAACAACGCATCAATAACCAATCAAAGATGACTATCGAGGGCCTGAGAGGCCCACCTGCCTCTGGAATTGCCTCCATTGTTCAGGGATCTGGAGGAGGTAAATTACTGCGAGATTATGGCCACTTTTTGTAAGCAGATCGAAATGTTGTCATATGATGTTTGATAAAAGATGTGATGGTCTCTAATTCTACCTCTTGAAAAGCAACAACCAGCTGATAATGATGTAATGGTTTGCCTGTAGCTGGTGTAACTTTTCTACTGCAATTATGGTAAATGTGTTATTCCTACACCGATCGGATTTTGGGAATCACAAAAATAGTCTCCCAATTCTGGGGAAAAAAAGACACACAACCGAAAGAGGAGAAGCACAGTTGTGTCATAGTGATTTAATATCTCTCACCATTCTCCCTTCCTCCTTCCAGCAGGTCTGCCTGCATCCATGGCAGGGCCGGTGCAGGTGGTGGACTCCCCTCTCCTTAGGCAGCAGGTTGAGGCTCAGAGACTGGGCATTAAACACCTCAAGAATGAAAATAACAGACTCAAGGTACACTGGTTTTGAGTTGGTATTATATTGTTGTATTTTGCTGGCTGTGTAAACCATGGTAATATTGACCTGGAGTATATGTACTTACAGGCAGAGAAGATGAGAGCCCAGCTGGCCTCCCTGCCTCCACTCTGCCCTCCCAAACTACCACAGGTGTCCAAGGAAAGCTCCATGCCTCCAGAGGGACTCAACACTGGCATCTATCGCAGGACTGACCAACTGTTGGCAACGCTGCTCAAGCTGAGTGCAGAGTTTAAAGTTGTGGACATCACCGGGAAGACAGCAGGTATGTTTGTGTGTGCACAAACCTTTTGTAAAGAATTTCTTTTTGCAAAAACTGATTTCTCCTGGATGTTTGGCTTCATTTTCTCTTTCCTCTCGTGTGTTTCTTCCAGTTAGTGCCAGTGCCCAGCTGCTGGAGCAGACGGCTCGACTGCAGAACCTCAGTGATGCTCTGGACAAACTCAAGGTGACAACTTCAGAATTGAATATCTTGTCTTTACCATGTCAACAAGTTGACAGCAACACAAAAACCAAACATTTGTGAACATCTGTTTCAGGGAGAAGTAGCTGAACATGTAGTCTCCTATCAGCCTGGAGCAAAGGCTTCCTCTGACTTCGCCACCTTCCCAGTCTCCTCCTTTGTGAAGGTAAAAGCATACGGTGCTTACACACACCATCACTTCCAAGACATAACAAAGTTATATGTTTTCCACTCAGATTTCAGTACTTGTGAATGAAATGACATTTTTGCAGATGTAAAATTATATATTATTATATTATCATGTGTACATACCCAACTTGTTTCTTAGGCCAAGGAAGAGAAGAAGGGAGGAACAGTGTTGGTAGGTCGTGTTTCCATTCCATGCAACCGTGGACAGGAACAAGTCCACCGCCTCGTCCTATCACAGCAGCAGCTGCAGCGGGTCCACTGCCTCCTCATGGCATAAGATGACATGCCGTTGACCCACAGCAAAGATTGACGGCATATCAAGAAAAGCTTTTGTTCTTTTTTTCTCATTCCACTTTCCACTTCACTTCAACATTCTCCTATTTATCCCCTTTGCTTTTCACTATTCTCAGGAAACTGTATCCAATATTTGCGAAGTTAAAACTATAGCACTAATAAAACTGAGGCACAGCTGTCTCTTTATATTGATGTAAAACTGATTAGTGTTTGATTACTTTGAATGAAGTCCTAATGGATTTGACTCCTGAATGTCACATTATGAGGGAGTCATGTTTTCATCACTCAGTTTGTATGCATCAATTTTGCCAACTCTTTGTGGAAATGGGGAAACTAACTAGCAACAAGTCATTTTTACTGTACTTGCACCTCTTTAGTTTTTTCTCTTTGTATCTTTTGTATTTGTAGCAATTCAGACAATAAAAGGTAAGCAATTCACTTCTGAGCAACAAAAAATTGTGAATGTGTATCAATTTTTAATCATGAGATGTAATGCCTGTTTAGTATCTGTAATACTGTATGTTGACAGAAATTAGCTGCTCAAAAGGTTTACAGTCTAAGATGAAGGTCCATGGCCAGTTTAGGTTGTGGAGACGGGAAGATGAACCATGTACAGTTTAGGGTTGTCAGTGTCTTTAAATTCTAATCTCATTAACTTTAGTTTGTTTGATGTGGATAAGACTGCCTACTGCCTTATAGTGACAGGCTACAATTATTGAGAAATCTGCATATAAACATTAGGCAAGTGTAACCAGGCGTTTTATATAAAACAAAAGGCATCAAGACAAAATGAAAAAGCGGCATAATACAAAAAAAGCTGCACTACACAATTACATGCTAGCTCTGTCTCATAATGCCCAAGTAATCACTAGACTGCTACTGACCCCAGTTTATTAAGTAGAAAGTTATTCATTCCAACATCAGGAACCAGAGCTTGGTATATAAATGTAAGAAAGTTCTGTAGCCAAAGCTACTTCTGTACCAGAGTGTTGAGTGAATGTTATCAAAATGTAGCAGAATTACATTGTTACTGGAGCAAACATCAGATTTAAAGCCTAAAAGGAAACAAAATCTTTATGCTATTCTTGACCTGCGTGGGGTGTGAGACAAGAGAAGGATCATTAATTTAGAACTATAAGTGATTCATTTTAGAATATGCCAAAAACAGTTGTCTTGAAATCTTAGTCAGCTTTAATAGAACACAACACCTGATACATTGTAAATGCAGAATTTAAAAAATGAAAATTTTAAATCTATTTGGTGGCAAACAACGAACAAACAACTGAAAATTTAAACATCTATAAGACTACTAATTTACAATATAAGAAAAACATGTATGCATGTCTGAGGACATTCAACTAATTACATAAAATCTGGGTGTGAACTCAGCAGTGTGAGGTTTTATGCTCCCACCTGGTTACAAGCCTTTATATGGTTCTGAGTTAGAACACAGCACTTAGAACACAAACAATGTACTGCAGACGATGCAAGAGATGGAAAAAGATAACACGATAAGAGGAATTTGACCAAGTCTCAATCTTGTAAAACACCTTAGTAGTAACGGCTATTATGTTAGTAATGATTTGACCTGTGATGGGTGTATGGAGCATAGTGGTGTCTGCTGCGTCGGCTCCTCATCACGTACTTATGATGGTGATCATTGTAGGGCTCAAAGTGGTGGGGAGGTCTGTAGTCGAAACCTGAATAACATATAGAAGGTGTAAACAGGGGTGGATATGGCAGCTCAAAGACACTTAATATTAAATGGTTAAAAATCACCCACATGCCCTGTGTTTACACAAATATTATAAGAAGCATGTGTATTGAAATGATCAAGTATAACATCCAAAGCATCAAAGTATGTTTTCACTGCAGAGTTATGTCTGTACACTTACCATTTCCAACATGTCCATGTTTATATTTGTGTCTGTGGATTGGTGGGTGAGGATGCGGTGAGAGGGCAGGTCTGTAAGCTCCAGCAGCCTCATGGCGATACGTCTGCTGCTGCGGGTTGTGGCCCTCGAAGCTCAAATATTTATAAGGGAGGGAATTGCTGAAGAATTCCTCCCTATAGCTGTTGTAATTTCTCTTGGTTGAGTACCTCTCTGTGAAAGACAGGACAGGAGTGGAAGGGGACAGGGGCACGGATGACAAAAACAAGCAAAATGTGAAAGTGGTGAGAAGAGGATGAAAGACATGAAAAAAAAGAAAGAAAAAAAAAGCTGGGTTTTTTTTTTTATGCCTCCACACAGACGACAGCCGGTCAGGAGGCATTATATCCGTCTGTCCCATTCTCATGAATGCAATATCTCAATAATGCCATGAGGGATTTTCTTCAAATTTGGCACAAATATTAACTTGTGCTCAAAGATGAACTCATTAGATTTTTGTGGGGCAACAGTTAAAGTTTAAGGTCATGGTGACCTCACTTTCTTGTGAATGCAATATATCAGGAACACCCAGAGGGAATTTCAACACATCTGGCCCAACCATAACTTGGACTCAAGGATGAACTGATTAGAATTCAGTGGTCAATGGTAACTGACCACACTAAATACTATAACTCAAAAATTCATAGACTAGTTATGATTAATTTCTGATAGGATAAAATGATGACGTGATGACATTTTATATCCAAATGGTCAAGGGTCAAGTTCACTGTGACATTATGTTATGCAAAAACACTTCTGGCAATTATTCAACACTATAACACAGGACAGGGAGATTGTGACCATATTTCCTGCAACTTGCCTGATTGGTGGAGGCATACAACAGCGAAGCGGTAGTTCTAGTTCTTTTGAACACAAATAAAGGACACAACAACTTGACATGAAGCAAGAACCACAAAAACCTCTTTGTTTTAAACCTTACCCATGCTGGAAAAGTAGTTGGCAGGAGGGTAGGGGTAGTTAGAGGCACACTGTACTTGACGCACTCCTAAAAATAAGAAAGAAAACCTCAGAAAACTGCAGATTTCAGAAAGCTAATATGTTATGTTTGTGCAATTTAATTTCACACCACAGCCTAAAGAAACAAAAGATGGAAAAAAACAAAGCAGACATTCAATTGAGAATCGAATATCAACCTAAGCTTGAGGATTTTATTGATATGAATCTACTAAAAATCACTAAAATCCTCCACAATTATTTCTGAAGTACTTGGATACCACCTGACAGTTCCAGTATGACTTCCAGTATTCATGCAGTCCAGTGTGATGGATATAACATACACAATTCAACAAGTAGTTTTTCCAAAACCAAACACTTTGTAGTATTTATCTTTATCTTACCTTGTCCTGTACCAATAAAACCAACAGAAATAATCCTTTTAAAACACACCACTTGATGTCTCACCTGCAGAGTTGGTAGCATTTCCATAGACTGGCCGCTTAACAGTGACATCAGTATTTTCTAAAAAAGAACAGACTTGTGTTAACCTAAATAAATGAAATGAAAATTCATAAAAAAATAAAAACTAACAAAAGTCTTGAATACAGGGGTGACCCCGATACCCAAGTGATTAGGGCGCATACCACATGGGTGCAAATGCTCTGAGCAGCGAGTCCCCGGTTCAACATCTGACCGGACAGACCCTCTGCTGCAAGTCATTCGTCTTCTCTCTGTCCCTGCTTTTCCTGTCTCTCTACACTGTCCTGTCAAATAAAGGCATAAAATGGCCAAAAAATAACAAAAAAAATACAAAAACCGAAGTAATGAATGTATATGAAATAGTTGCCAGAGCTGAAGAGTTCAGGAGTACACAATACAGTATGGAGAGAAAAAAAAAAACAAAACAAAACACACCACCACTGCATTATTGCCAAAACTACAAGCCCTGTCTTACAATGGGACTTCCTCTTTGTTTTTGTGTGTGTGTGTGTGTGTGTGTGTGTGTGTGTGTGTGTGTGTGTGTGTGTGTGTGTGTGCTCCCAGTCTTCCTCCTCACCAACAGCTCTCAGTGGACAGGGCATAATGACGCCCCAGGCCTGTGCAGCGTGCTGCAACAGCAGGGAGGTTATCCTGCGGTGGGCAATGGCGTTCCAGTGGACTCCATCGTTTGTACGATGGTGCAGGGAGAAGCGGAACTGGAAGTGGAGGTCCAACACATCCATCCCGTGGGCGTCAGCCAGAGTCCCGCTGTAGAAGTTTGCTTCGATCACATCGTAACGCAGCTGGGGGGCCTTGTGCTCAATCTGAGGTTAAAGAAGGAGGACAAAGCACTAATGGTGCAGTCACATCAAACATGAAATACTTGCACTATGTGGCCAAGAGCAGGAGGGGACAGGAAATAGCATGGGTATGGTTGAAAATTTAACCTGCAGGAGGTAACACAGCTAGAGGGTTATCAACAGCAGTCCAGTAAATTAAACAGCTTTTCAAACATTTTGCTGTCCATAACCTCTGTCACTGTCCTTACATGCATCTCTCCTTCTCTGCCTTCTCTCCTGCTTGTATTAATTTCAGCTGCAGGTATAAAACAATACAAAAAAAAAAAAACTGTATTTCCTGAATGAGAGGTCAATCTCAACCCTCTCTCACACCAGCTGGACACTGGACAGCCTCAAGTTTAATCAGATCGAACTCTGGCTGGAGGAGCAGCAGTAGTCTGGACACAATGCAGGGTAATAAGCTTATTGAAAAAAATAATAAAAATATACTGAATGTAAAACAAAAGTCAACTTCCTTCCGTTTCAGTGATGCAACCTGGCTTAATGCATCACTAGTTTGAATTCCACAGGCACCTGTTTAAATCACAAATCTCCTTTTGTCCATATGTCCAAAGTTTTACATCAGGCACTCAGTTTAGTCCAACTAAAATGATCATCAGTAAATAAAAACAATTATTTTTTTGTAATCTTCTCTATTTGTCAGTTGAATTTCTGATGATACTCAGCCTGGTGAAGTTTGTCCACCTGTTGTCTGTTGTGCTGCTGACAGGACAGCTGGTTCTGAGACTGAGACAGTGACACCACTACTGTGGTCGGACTCAGTGTAGATTGATTGAATGAATGTACGTTTCAGCAGCAGTTACATACCACTGCTGTCTTGCATCGGATGTGAATTTCAAGCAAGAGGGTGTAAGAGATATTTTAGATATTTTATGACCCAACAAGCTCATATTTCCAATTCAACTTATGATATAGTTCTTTGGGGACGATGTACCTCAGGCACCAAGAAACCACCTTTGATCTTCTCTGCTAAGGGCATAGTGAGGTTCCATATGACCAGGGATTCCTCAGGCAGAATCGTTCTCAGCTCGTCAAAGAACGTATATAGGTTCTTCTTGTAGTCATCAATCCAAGAGGAATTGTATCTACAAACCAGAGAAAAACAACTTTAATATCAAGCTTATCAAACTGGGGTTTAAATCTAAACAAATTCATTGTGTCACAAATCTAAACACATTAATTGTCCTCTGCCACTGCTCTCCCTCTTAAATGTGGGTTTGACTCATCAAGCATCAAGTCTATGGAAGCTGTTTACAGCAACCACCACTTCTACAGTTGTAGAAACCATCCATCCACACATCCACCCACAACTCCGTCAGCCTCACTGTTAGAGAAATCTATAAATTTGACTTCTATCACACTGTTTGGGAAATGTAAAAAAAGTTTTTGCCAATCAAAACACACCTTTAGTCCATGAACTTGCTCAGATAGCTCACCATCCGCAAGCCAACAAAGTCAAGTGCCTCCACATGCAAACAGCTGGAAATTGCAGCAGGTCTTGTTGGTCTCGCCCCTTAACCCGTCTCACCATTTTAACTTACAGTACAGTGGCTACTTAATGACCACATCATATTTTTTACAATATTAAATGAATAGCAAGGTAATTAGTACTGCTAGTACCATTAATAGTTACTCTTTTATCTAACCACCTTGAAATGTCCCAAACGCAGGAGTTGACAATGACTACATCTGGTTTCAAGCCATGGCAGAAGTCATCTAGGATGCTCTGCATGTAGCGAGAGTAGATGCGTGTCACAAAGTAGAAGCGGATCAGGTGGTGGGCCGACTGAAATTGCCGAACCTCTCGGTACTGTGTTCCATTGTGCATTTGGCTTAGACAGCCCCCTTCTACCAGACAGTCCTGTTCAAAGCTCATCTCCCCCTGAAAAAGATGAAGATAGATGTTAAAGTGAGGACAACAGAACCAAAATAAAACAAAGAAGAAACACAAGCCATCTATACAGAAATGAAAGAAATCTGAGTTTTTGTACTGAGATGAACAACTGAGAACAAGTCTCATGATAAACAAAAAAAGATGTTTAAGTTCAAGTGGAGATGTTGCTACACTGAGTTCTTTGAGATTAAAGCTTAAAATAAAAAACAAAAATATTCATGTCAAGATTTATTCAGTTGGCAGATACTTTTGTCCAAAGCAACATACACATTTCTTTGATACCAGTGCTTCGAGCTCTTCTTCTTTATATCAGTATGTAAACCTGGTAAATGTTAGTCCTTGCCTTACTCTTGAGTTGTCTTAACGTGAGATATTTCTCCTTCTGTATCAGCAGAACAAGGTCCTTGTATACAGACCGCTGAACTGGGGAGGAAATACACATAGTCTCAAAACTGGCAGTGTGACAAGTTGATCCATGTTCACAACACAGCATTCTAACACAGGGCGCCTACAGGTTCTATATAAATTCACTAACTGGTGCATTTGTATCTGCCTGACAGTTCATTCAAGAGCAAGAATAATCATTTGCATGGGTCACAATCTCGTTTGCTGCAAACTTTTCTATGCATACCTGTTAAAACATTATTTGAATGAGAGAGTGAATTTGACTGCTACTTACTAGAGTCTCCCAGAACCACAATGAACTTGTTATGGAGCAGCTGGCTGGCCTGCTGGTGGCTCACGCACTTCATTATCTCCTTCTGTTAAGTACAACCCCTTTTTTTTTTTTCATCCAAATACTGTGAAAGTCAGAGGTCCATGCCATGAGTGCTTCCAGGAGGGATAACACTAGGCTACAGAGTTTCTTAGGTGGCCAAGACATTAAATTCACAAATTCCCATACTTAATTAGCTTTAGCATACTAATGAACTCTGTTATCTCTAGTGTTGAAATACATTTAGAGAAATACTTATCACTGTTGAATGTATGGGAAAAGATGAAACTACCTAATAACGCTAACCGTTTCGAAATCATCCTACTGTTAGCAGTTTGTTTTCAAAGCTAGCTAACGTTAGTCCGGACGTTTTTGGTTCACGGACCCAAACCCACAATATCCTCACCAACCGACCCCTGGCTCTACTTGTGAAGTTGTTTCACAACTCAATGGGGCAGGAAAATGGCTAAAAGCCGTTGAAATGATTTCACTTTGTCACTAAAACGTAGAAGTTGTAACTTACAGTACTCTTCGACTCCATCACTATTCCGATGTACACAGGTGTATCCAATTAGATGACGCTTTTACTGCGTGTGGGAAATTTCACAATTTTCAGGCGCGCTTTGGCATCTGGCTACAAACATTATGGCGGACCACCGCAAGTGGTGGTCTCGCTTTCAGGAACATCTGTGTGTAGTTCACTAAGGATCTCTCAAAAAGTTTTTTGCTTTTCTAATGTTGTTTTTTATTTAAGTTAAATATATAAAAGAATCCAGCAACCCTTTGTATACTGATATGGAAAAAATATTTTTGAAAATCTTAAGTAGCTCCACGCATTTAATGATGGCATTTTTTGTCTCATTGTTGTAGATCATGAAGGCACTTCTTATATGATTTTTTAATTATTTTTTTTATAAATTCTTATTTGTGGAACTTAAATGAATCCTGGGTTTAAATGAATTGTCCATACTGTTAAGAACAAATTATTTGAACTATATGAACGAACTACTAATTAGTAAGCAAGTAAGCATGACTACGACCACATCCGTCTTTTAACCACCTGGAAAAAATGCTTCATCCGGGACAGCACACGCAATGATTGGATTGTTTACTAATTGTTTTTCAGATTACCATCAAAATCATCAACGCCCAAATTCCCTTCAGGCTCAATTATATGCCCAGGGCTCAACCAGTACTCCTGTGTTGGAATAAAACTAAGTGAGCCCAGGTTTTCTATGTATGTATGTTTCATTGTTTCAATGTTAGTTTGTGGTAGTTTGATTAAACACCAATTAACAAGCTAACCCACAGTTTAAGATGTTGAAGAACTCCATGTGTGTCATCAAGCGCCTCAGATAACATATTCCTGAAGTGACAAGTTATCAGGAGTAAAGATCATTGTCAGTTTAGCACCACTCTGGCTCAGGGAGACCTTTCTCAAAAGTAGGACTTATACATAAACTCAACAACAGAAAGATATTGTCAGAAAGATATATGATAAGGATGTATAAGATGAATTGGGAGATGGAGAGAACTGGACATGAAATTTATAAAATATGTAAATAATCTTAAAAGAACAGCCTCAAATGCCTTTCAAAAATTATTCTTTATTATGTTGCTTTTGATTTGTAGAAGAGGCTACAAACAGGAAAAGAACAGGTCCTTTATGCACTCAAAACTGTTTCATACAGAACACAACTTATCTCTTCATCTCATACTTTTTATGTTCAGTAAAAATCACTGTCATCATCATAATCAATCACTTCCTTTTTCTTCTCCTCCCCTTGATCCTCCTCTTCCTTCTCCTCCTCCTCCTCCTCCTCTTCTTCATCTGTCTTGTCTTCTTTCTTGATCTCAGTTTTCTGGTGAAACTCCTGATATATCCCAGTCAGAGCTTTTGCTGCTTCTAGAGACACTTTCAGATTTCCTATCACCTCCTTGTCTTCATCCATACTCATGACTGGGGGGAACAGAAACACAGAGGAAGAAAAACTGTCAGAAAACTCCATGTTTTTACACATTATCAAAGCGGGAATATGAAAGACCATCTGCCACAGCCTGAATCTGAAGTAGGGTAATGATAAATGTACACAATATTGTACAAATTCTTTATGTACATCACTGCTTTTACCAATGCTTACTATGATACCAAAGCACACCTCTTTCTTTTCACTATTTATACAGTTTGTTGAGCAGCCTGCTAATGAGTTTTCATTAATAATCAAGTACGAAATAATCAAAGCTATAGCATGCAAAAAGAAAATATTGGACATGGATAAATGAAAGTGGTATCAACTTTCTGGGCTGCACAAGTTCATCACTGTTGCTTTAATTAGTTTAAAGAGTTTTAGTATTTTAATTCAGAGGGATAAATTATGGTAGCCCATAGAAAAACACACCCAACATAGTTTTCACTTTTTTGCATAATTACATAAGTCCTTTCACACTTTAAAGTCTCAATGACAGATGCATAGATTCAAAAAAATAATAACTAAAGAACAAAAGGCAAAATCTGACCTGATGAGTTTTACCAGATGATGGACTGAGGAGTGAAACATTGCTAATAGTGTGAGCTTTTCCTTTTGTTCTCCACTCAAAAAAGTAAATGTATCGCGCACTAGCAATACCTACTGTCAATTTGTTGTTCAATAACATCGTTTCCTGTAAGCAGCAATTCTTGTAGGTCCAAAAAAGCGTGTCCAACATCCACGCACTCTTCATCATCATCCATCGGCTCACTTACCACTGTGAACTTTAACCTGCCATGAGACACAGACATGCTGTTAAATTTTTTGGTTTGGGGCTACAGACATAAAGATAAGAGAAATAATGTGTAAAATTACACACAAATAAAAAAACCTAAATAAATGATACTACCTGCCCTGGTTGGGGTCAGTGCCCTCCAGCATGGTGTAGAGATACTGTCTGAGTGGAGCTGACCGTGAACTATCCACATAGATCACTGAGAGACACAAGAGAGTAATTTGGTGTGTATAAAGGAGCTATGAAAACAAAACCTTATAGAAACATAAAAGGCTCACCAACTCTCACCTCGCGTGAAGTTGTAGTGAACCTCCTCCCCCTCTGTGGGTTTGCGGAGGGACATGGGTGTTTCTGTTGTCTCCATGGGGATGCCCAGCAGCCGATATTCCACATAAACACGCTGCACTGACTCATCCAGCGCCACATGTGAGGACGGCTCAAATGTCAGGGACAGAATCTCGACTCTCAGCTTGTCTCCCTGAAACGCAATGAAATATATATATATATAATACATATATATTTATTTATATCATACCTTTTGAACAGTTCATTTAAAATGAAAAGTCAAACTTACACTACATCCAAAGATGTACAGATGATAAGACAATGCAATGCTTAAGTTTTCCCTCTTTTGTCTTTTTTTGTCTTCTTCTCTTTTGTCCACATTTTCCCATTTTCCTCACTCACACAGTTACTTATACCTTTCTCATTTTTCGTTTAGGTGGAATGATGATAATGTCGCTTTGTGATGAACTTGACTGTGAAGACTCAGGGGCTTCACTGTCTCCTGCAGAAGCTGTATAGTGAAAAAACACACAAGAACTGGATTTATTCCATTTTAAATTTGGTTGACTGAGCTCAAAATTGAAGCCCTGTCAGTACGTGACAGCTCCATATGTGTTTCTTCATGCATATTTTATATAACAAATATATTTTATTAAGTGTTCAAGGTTAAATGGGTTATTAGATGTTTTTTTTTGTTGCTTCTATGAACAATGGCAGAGTGAGGGTTCAAATTACTGAGAGAAACTCAAGGCAGGTGTTTATAAGCCTATTATGTGTATGTGAATAGTTACCACTCTCTCTCCTCCCCTCTTCTTCCCCCTCTTCATCCACTGACATCTGATCCACAGAGAGAAGATCCTGAGAAGAAGAAATGAGATACGAGCCCTTGCACCAGCCAGTTTTCAATTGGCGTTTTCTAATTTCTACTCTCCTCTACTCTTGCTTCTCTTTCCACAACACAGTTTTATGATATTTATATTTATTTTCCATGAAAATAACTCTACCAGTGAATGATCTCCTACCTGAGTCCTGGCATCGCTGGCAGAGCTTCTCCTTGACAATGTGGCTGGTGATTGTCTGGGAGACGTTCCCTCTGAAGATCTTGAATTAGATTACATAATTTTTTCATTATATTTTCATTATTTTAATCCTAATTAATCTTAAAAACATTTTTAGTAGAGGTGAAAATTAGAAGAAAGAGAGTAAACACATTTAATCATATATTTCGAATGTTTGGGTTGGTTTTCGTTGAATTGTTTCTAACAATTTAATTTTTTTTCCCACTTTTTATGACAGTTGGCCTGATGAGGATCCTATTTCCTTTTTCGTCCTTCAACATAATAATTTAACACTCCCTCATCTTTAAGAACATCAGCCATGATAATAACAAGATAACTGAGTGGATTTTTAAAAGAAAAAATAAATCAACAACTTGCTTTCTAGTTGGCAAATGAGAGGGTGTGGTCAGTCTTGGCTCAGGTGTCAGACGGGGTGTGCCTGGGTAAAGGGCAGGTGACCTCTTAGTGGATCTCTTCCTGGCTGTGGACTGACGAGTGGCTACAGGTTTCACAGAGGTGGTTTCCTCTGGTCGTACATTTGGTGGAGGCCGAGGCTGTAGAGAGATGAACATGCTAGTAAATAAAATAATTATAATAACACACAGTCCAGCTGTGAATATTTCTACTTTTTTAGGTGCATAAGCTTTACCCAGGCTTTTGTCTCTTTCTGCACTGCTTTGGTTTCTCTTGGCTCAAGTAGCTGAGTCTGTGGCAAAGGCAAAGAAAAACAGGAATCAAGCTAGTGATCTGGGGGTATGTTTGAATATGCATTTTAGCATTTACACATTCAGAGTTCTTCACCCAGCAGTTCCATGACATAATGTCAATAAACGGAGTGCTCCTTAGAAATACATTTTTAGCTTTTAGGGGGTTTGAGGTTGTCATTGCTTTTTATCGCTTCAGACACTCTTTAGACAAATGAACATAAAATACATGTACAGTTCCTGAGAACATTACTAGTAATTTCCAATTTTTTAAACACAGCAGAATTAAAAATGACCTTCACTCTGGGCTTGGCTATGGGCCTCTGTGACACCTCAGCCTCTTTTCTGCTCCTCTCCTCCCTCTCAGTGCTTTCTGTTGGTCTGTCCTGTCTTCCCTGTCTACCCAGCAAGTCATCCCCTGGTGGCTGGAAGGGGTACTTCCATTTTATGAGGACCCTGACCATGCCCCGAGGTCCACCGGCTGGATCCCTCAAAACATAGTCACCTGGCGGGAAACAGAGAAACATTTTCAAACTATTGAGTGTGTCGTTTAAGATCAACTTATCGAGAAGGATCATTTGCAAGTTAGTCCGTCTGTAATTATTAGTCATTTTAATTAAACATATGATGCAACTGTGAAAACAACATGTTGGCATCCACCTTTATCTAACCTGATGCCAGAGAGATGAATACTGTTATCATTTACTGGTAAGTATTTATTCTATTTTTCTCTCTCCCTCACCTCTGATCTCCCTGCCTGTAGCCAGGGCTCGCAGAGGGATGGGCGTCTTGGCCAGATAGGTTGGTGGTATCTGGTCATCGCTGTCATCAAACATATACACCCAAAGACTACTAGACCTGGGTAGAGATAAATCCTTTTAGTATTAGCAGGGGTTATTGCATTAAAATAACATCGTACGAATATAAGAATACAATAAGATATTCATATATTTTTTATGATATTCATGAATTTGGGCCAAGACCTTGCAATTATGGGCAACTTCAACTCAAAAATATACAACATACCTCAAGTAGTGCAACACATCAGCTGTTACTGCTAGTGGGTAGCTGGTGCTATCATTGAACACTGGGTCAGCAGTGCACTGGACTGTTTGAGAGACGTGAGGCGGCAGGTCATAGAACCTGTAGGTCAGGTAGGCGTCAGGAAGTAGTCCTGGCCAGCGAGCATTAAGACCCACACAGCGCTCCAACATAACCGCCAACTCATTGGGGATCCCTCGACCGTAGTCATGTAACTCCTGCCATAATTAAAAATGAGGTCATAAAGACAAGTCCTGTACAGGCTTAGAAGCAGAACATCCTAGTTTAAAGGACGATTTCACTAAAAAACATATCTATCTGGCCATGCATATGGTTTTGGTTTTGTGCCCTGGGAATTTTAGAAAATCTCCTCCACTCCAATACAATTAAATTCAAATCAGTACAACTTTTTTGTCCTTAGAAAGGCAACTGTATGCAGCAGCAAGACTAGGCATGACAAACTGTCACAAACTGCGGGGAAACATAACCAAAACTACTTGTATTGCAAGATAAGTAGAAAAATATGTATTTTGTTCAGAACTTGTCGTCTCTGTCTTACCTCATGAATTCTGTCTTGCCAGCCATAAGAGATCTGCACAGGACTCCTCTGTGTCACTGTTCTCCTTTCAGCCTGTTTCTCTACCAAAATGTCCATGGGCTCTGAAGGAGGGAACAGGCGCACCCAGAAATCCACAACACCGACAATTTCAGCTTCAGGGCCTTAGAGAGAGACAGAGAAAGACAGATATGTGTCTGATATGAGTTGATGCCTGTATTTTTCAAACCAATAGAGATTACCAAAGACAGTTAATAAGTAGGCTTTTAAGATATATAATATTTTCATATTATAAAAATGTTAACAGACTGTGTGCAGGTGAAGAAGCATCACCTTCTGTATTAGGTTTAGGCGTCTGAAATGACTTACCTGTGATACTGACACGTCCAGCGATATGCTCCCCTCTCCTCTCCATGGCACCCATGAGAGACATCTGCCCACTTCCATGTGTCACAAATCTGACCCCTCCTACTGCCTGGTGGAGCTCCACTCTGACCCTTGACCCCTGACCTCCCAACTTGCCCAGATCGCGGGCTGTTAGAGCGTAGCGGGACGTGAAGCCATAGTTGGGCTGACTGCCTGAAACTAGAGGAGTGGAGTGCACCTCAAAGTCCAGGAGGCTGTAGGTGCAGAAGGTCACAATGTCCTCGCCGCTGTCCACTCCTGCACGGATCCTGCCCATAATCCGAAGCCCTGCTGGGGTGAAGGTGGCACCCTGGAGGAGCAAAAACAGCAGATATCAGCTTCCTGGGAGACTTGCATGGAATTATTTAGGATAAAAAAAATAATTCAGATACAAGGTCTGAGTTTTCACCTTAAGGTGGATCTCCAGCAAGGACTCCCCAGCTCTCAGCTGAGAAAAAGACATGTCGTCTTCAATGGGCTGTACCACTTCCTGATCTCCTGCTGGCCAGGTGTACTGTATTGGTATGGTCCGTTTGTAGTTCCTGGGGCTGTATGCTAACTCTTTCAACTGAGCTTTTGAGTACAAAGACATAAAGGTTTGAGATTCTGAAGGGAGCACTTTTTCACTAATGCTACCCACCCAGTTGTGTTCTAAACAAACCTGCATACCAATCAATGTCTGAATAAGATTACAAAAAGAGTACTTAATTGTGAACGTTATTCTTTATGATACAGGGTGATCTCGCCTTTGCTGTTACTGTTGTTCATACCTTGCAGAGTGTTGATCTGAAGAGCTCTTTTTGATAAAAGTTTGTCTTTCTCTGCCATCCTCCTCCTGCTCTCCTCCCTCTCTCTCTCCATCCTCTGGCTGACCGTGTTCAACTCTTCCTTGGGGTTAAAATGGGGAAGAGAAAAAACTGAGAGAAAATTGATGATAGGAATCACAACACTATCAGTGATGCCTGTAATTCAGTATTGTGTGAAGTTCCAATCAGGAAGACTCTCTTCATATTTACTCTATATATTTACACACACACTCTCTCTGTTCCTGCTTTCCACTCAGTCAGTCTATGTACCTGCAGGTCTTTACTGATTCGGTGCTCCAGCAGTAGAAGGTTTCTGGTTTTCTGTAACTCCAGCACAGCCTCAGCATGCGATGCCTGGATGTTTACCAGCTCACGAGGTGCATCCTCCACCTTCCCATCAGCCCAGAGGAAACGCAGACCCTCTCTGCTCTCCTGCTGCATCCTAAATGCCTGTAATTGGAGGGAGAGCATGACAGAAAATTTAAAAACTATTTATTTAGTCACTTAAAGCAGTGAGCTACAAGAGAGTACAAACCTTGATCTGCACAAGAGTTTCACTAAGCTCCTCAACACTCATGTCAAACTCCTAGAAGAGAGGAAAAAGAGAGGATCATAACTGTGTCAGGATATGTGCCAAAAGCAGGATAACACACAGAAAACACAGACAGATGTGTGAATCAGCTGTTCAGGAGTATATTATTCAGTTCTTCTTTGACCTTAGTGACCGAGTCCAGTCTGTCCTGCAGAGCAGAGACCTGCTCTCTGTACTGGAGAACCTCCCGTTCTAGATGCTCTCGTTTGTCTTTCATCATCACAGAAAACTCTAAAGGAAACATCACAGGACATAGAAATGAATAAATGAAATTGTAAATTTATTTGTTGTCCTAAGTTTCTATTTAGGGAATCTATTTGCTTTTTGTAGCAGAAGACATGTGTTTCAGGTGTTGTCAAAATGTATCTCCAACAGTGAATCTTCATTGATTATTTCCAAATCAGTTTGTTTCATCAAACTGCGGCAGATGCAGCAGCAACATGCTGAGACTCCTACCTCTTTCTCTGTCTCTCTGCTCCTCTAACATGTCCTTCTCTTGTCTCAGTTTCTCTTTGTCCAGCTCCAGTCTGCCTCTCTGCTCCCTCTCTGCTGTCAGCATTTCCTCCACTCTATGGATATCCAGCCTGCTGAGGTTTTTCCCCACATCCTCACTCCTCCGGACCACTTCGCTATGTCTTTCCACATGGCCATCATGGTTGCTTTGGGCAGATAAAGTACTAGGAAAGAGAACAGGCAGGTATTTACAAACATGGTAACAACATGTAATGTGTTATATTGTAACATTTTGTAATATTCACCTTTATAAATCAGTAGTATTGATTTGATATCGTCATTAAAGATGTAACAAGAATTCATAGCTGTCAAACCAAGCCAAGCCATTTCTGAAGTTTCATGTGCTCTTGGATGACAGCATGCATCCTTATCTCTATTTTCAAGAGAGGCATTCCTGATTAATGTGGTCCATTACATCTTAGAGACTGTTTTGCAAGAGGACCTTAACTCTTACCTCTCTAGTAGAGTGTCATAGTTTTCTTTTATCAGATCCCTCTCTCCCTCCAGGTCTGATATCCTCTCCTGTAGCTGAAACAAGATGAATGAAATTAATATATTTCTTACATGCTCTCTAGTCCTTTATGATGAAACTTCTGCCCCTTACTATCATCTGCCGTCTTCTCTCTAAGTTGTAAGCTATACATACACATACAGATGCAGTACCTTGTCCAGAGTCTGTAGAGACAGGGTAGCAGAGGTAAGTTGCCCCTCCAGTGCCAGCGCTCTCTGTCTCTCCTGCTTCAGCTGTTCAGTCAGCTCCTCCACTTTCTCCAGCAGAGCACCCTGGCTTTCCCTCAGTGAACTCTGACTCTGGGGTGAAAACATTACACAGTCAAAATGTATATGACCAAAAACTAATCTATGAGTCCTTACTCATGTAGTAACATATTCAATATATTCATTGATCTTTGTTTGTGACATGGTTTCCACCTCTTCCAGCTGATTCTCATATGCCTGTAAAGAAAGAAAGAAAGAAAGAAAGAAAGAAACCAAATTAGTAAGAGAAGAATAAACAACTAATGTACAGAATAAATGGCTGACAGAAGTCTTACTTCTTGCAGGTCCTTGAACTTTTGCTGTGTAACTCTCAGGGCGGTGCTCTTGTCTGAAAGCTGCTTTTGTAGACGAATCAGATCCATGTTCTCTCTGATAGTTATCCTGACAGGAAAATGAAAATGTAATATTTTATTCACATTGTTGTTGTACAAGTAGTTGTAGCAGTAGCTGCAGTAAGAGTGGCTACTGGTGGAAAGAGCACTGCAATGAAGATGAGAAGGTGCTACTTCAGTAATATTTTACTTATTGTATAAATCAAGTTTTAAAAATCTACTTGAGAAAACTGGAGTAACATTGGTAGAAGTAGTAGTAATATTAGTGGCAGTGATATTTCTGATGTAGCCACCTGTGTCTGTCTGACTGATGCTTCCTCATCTCTCTCGCGGTTCCTTCTATCTCTTTCTCTTTCTCTCTCAGTGTGTCTCTGAGGGCCTGAGTAGTCAGCTCCAGCTCTGCCACCCTCACCTGCTCTGTCAAACTGGACCTGCTGGATGGGAGAGGTGAGGTCAAGGTGGAGGCATGGGGGAGTTTGGGACAGAGGACAAACACAGGTAGTGGAAGAAGGGAGAATGATGAGATGAGCATTTTCTGGTTTTCCTTGTATTGTGTAGATAGGAGCTGATGAGAGTGTAATCAGAAGTAAAGCAGTTTGAGGCTTTGGCAGGACACTGGTGATATTGCACTCTGAAATTTTATGGAGCTACTGAATTGATCCATAGGCAGATATTTACTCACAGTCCTGAGCAGAGAGTGTCTCTTTAAGAATTTGTTTATGCATTTCTGTTTTGGTCATCCAATATATTACACACTAGAAACTTACAATCTCTCCATCTCTGCCCTGCTGTCTTCCATCATGGGGCCATAGCGGGGTGGGGCTGTCTGGGCTGCCCTCCTGACTGCACCCTCCACTTCCATACTTTTACCTGTCAAGAAGAAGAGGAAGAGACGAGTAAAGTCAGAGATGGAAGAGGAAGCAGTAGTCACCCTGGCCCCTATTTACATGCTAGATTTTTTCCACAACACACACAAACCTTTGCTGAACCTGTATGTTGTGCGTCCACCCAGGTCCATGATATGCTGCTTAGCCAGGCTAAGTTTGTTCTGTAGCACCCCTTTCTGGCTCTCCAGCATAGCCACACAAGCTTCCAGCTCCTGTATGGTGTCCTCCATGTCCCTGTCCTTCACACCACTGGAACCAGGACGGGCCTGACGAAGGCGCATCAGTCTGGTGGACATCCTGGGACAAGGAGGGGGAGTTAAATCAGCCTTATTAGGGCCTTTGTCTTTATCATATATCTCTCTGAATAACATACTGCAACAAAGATGAACATCCGTAATAACTGAGATGCAATGGATGTGCTCTCATTGGCCCATATGTCTGGTGTTAGGTGTAGTCATTAGAGTGTGTATCAATGTTTCTGTGTTAATGTGTCTTACTTGCGTAGCCTCTGCTCCTGTGTACGTGTGTGTTGCCTCAGCACACTGTTCTCCTCCTGCAGTCGCAGACACAGGTCCTCAAGGTGCTCTCTAGGAAACCGAAACAGGCGCTGAGGATCTACTGGAGAGAGGGAGAGAAGTGGCTAAAAACACAGAAAAACACTTTCTCACTTTGTATTTTTGATGCAGAAGCAGTTGCTTATATATTGTATGCTTTCCATTGAAGGTCTGAAAGTTGGAATACAACAGGATTCGTTTTGTAAAGTGGTTTTTACCTTTAGTCTTCATGACATGATGCTTCTTCCATTGCTTCACATCACGTACTGTGTCTGGGGAAAAACAGCAGGGTGGTGACATTTACAAAAGTTGTATTTACAGACACACAAATGTAAACAAATTCACATTTATTGCACAATTCACAAAAACCTAGAGTATCAACCCCCAGTCTCAATACTAATGACTATTCTTAATATTTTGATTAGGATGTAGATAATTTATATCTCCAGCAGATCATCAGCTCTGTTGCTCTGTGCTAAAACATCTGCATTATATATGTTGGTTAATATTAAAATGTGACAGGTTCTAATGGTTCTGTTGATGATATTGGCTTTTTTTTCTCCATAGTGTCACATGATACTTCATGATAAGTGATTGCACATATGAATAAAAAAATTGGTCTCCTAAAATTCATTCACAATCAAATTGAGTTCATGACATTTAATGTTTAAAATGAATGAAATGAAAGCCCAACTAAAACAATGAGGATTTTAACCAGTAAAAACTAATAAATAGCCAGTCTCAACCGGCTATCTTCATCTTTATTTTGTCATCTCTTGATGGACATATCTCCCAAAATTCATTTTTATTTTCTTTGCCTATGATCTCTGTTGTTAATACATAGAAAATGTTACCATTGTACACACACACACCTGGGATAGTTGGCATAAGCCCCCCCCTCATCATTCCCACATCTCTGACTGGGAGATCTCCGGCTGTCTCATCCATGACTGGCGACATCACAGCTCTCCACTCCGACTCAGACAGTAAGAAAGGTCCAGTCTTCGAAAAGTCACAACAGCAAACATGTCACACTGATATCGACTGCTGGTTCACTGGTCTGCATCCAGGTGAAGTGACAAACTGGAATGTGGATGAAAAATACTTTTTTTATTAAAGATTCTTATGACTGAGGCACAACAGAGAAAAACGAGAAAAACACATTACTTAAAATATTAGCAATTAGTGGTAGTTTTTTGACATTGTGGTGAATTAATTCTTTATTTCAACACTTGCTTCACTGTGGGGATTAATTTAGATCCAGGCTGCTGGCAGAAATACCTTCCATTACACAACATACAGAGATGAACTTTTAAACAAAGTTGTCAAAATGGCATAAAACACAACCTCAACACTCCATACACTCTTTGTATAATCTGCTCAAGCCTAGTAACCTGTTATCCCCAACAGTTTTAGCTTTATCATACTTTTATTTTAAATTATGTCTTTTGGCAATTAGCTGTTTCAAGGTCTACACTGATGTACAGTTAGTTATTAACAGTAGGCATTATACTGGTCGGACAGTGGGACATTTTGATATTCCCTCCCACACTAAACACTAAAAACTATATTAGCTAAATATGCGACTTACCCTTGTTAGCTGGCCTTCTAAAGTCAGTTTACCTCTAGTGAAGAAATGTATAGCATTCCTGGTTTCGCCTGGTGTCCATTGTAATCTGTAGGCTCTCTAGATGTGTGTCTCCGCCCTGTGCTTACATGATATCAGTTTTAATCCCTCTTCATCCCTTCCACCCTTCTCTCTTCTTTTACAGCCACTTTTATCTCAGTCTTTACAGATGTCTCCTGGTTGAAATTCTCTCAGCAATTTACAACAGTGTTACATGATTACTAGCAATGACTGTGTGTTTGTGTGCATGTATTTAGTTCAGTGACATACCTGTGAGTTTCCACTATCTGTGTATAATTCCTCCTCCCAAGACTCAGTCTTGAAGTCTGCCTCAGTGCTCCATCTGCCTTGGGGCTAATCTCGTCTCCGTGCTAATCTGATTAGCAACTGTCAGGTTGTAGAATCTAGCCTGTAGCCTGTAATGGCTATGGATAAATATTATTTGAAAGGGGCAGGTCTGTGCTCAAGGTGTTACTTTTTGATCAAGCACAAGTGAAGGGAAGATGAATGAGGAGGAGGAGGAGGAGAGGTTAGCAGGTACAACAGTTTGAAGTTTATTGAAGGAGGGAGGCAAATTAGAAATACCATATTAATTATTCATCTATATCTGAAAGTAGTTACTGTTGTGAATGAAACATCAAATAGGGATGAAGAGCATAACTAATCACGTTTCTGTACAATAGATTTTAGAAGACAATGTTTGAAAATCATGAAACAAAAACCATAAGTGTTTGAGATGACACAGACAACAATCTTATGCTGTTTTAAATGAGAAAACTATAAACAGACTGAATACACATTTGACATCATATTGTAATATCATCTAAATCCCCGCCTCCATTGACTCCACTGACAGGGCAGACGGTAAGTGGTGAGCTGTTATTGCCACCATCACTCATTTCTGGGTTAAAAAAGGGAAACATGGCCTCAGTGAATTGGAACTTTGTAAAGGAATAGATGTGTGACTGGGCCTGTGCATCATAAAAGGACACCGTCCCATCTTCGTAATCCAAAAACACCCCAAGAACCTGTGGCCTCTGAGCGAGACACAGCAGCTCTGCCTGTCCTGCACATGCCCGGTACTCACTGCCCTTCCTCAAACAAACAGTTAAATAGCCTTCCTCTGGGCACAGTGTCACCACACCTTTCCTCTTGACTGACTGTTGAGCTACACCCAAGTCCCACGCTGTCTTGTCTCTCACGTCCACCTCCCAGTAGTGCCTCCCTGTGGTGAAACCCTGCATAGCAAGAGCGCTTCAGGTCACTGCTTATTTCTCAGTGTGTGAAAAAGAAAGACATAATATTCTTGAAGGGACAAACAATCTTTATTTACCTGGGTGGCAATGACACATGGTGCTGTGTCAAAACGCTCTGGTATGTCCACCAAGTTCTGCTCAACATCTCCATCCCATACCTGTGTCCGGTCCTCTGACAGAACCAGCCAAGGGTTGGCTGTCCCAGGGTCCAGATGAACATCAGCTGGTAGACAGACACAATTTATATGGAACTTAAACTTCATAATCCTCTTTACATAAATTATTCTTTTTTATTTGTTTCCATCTGTTAAGGCATTCAGAAAAAATAATGCAACAAGTACTTGATGAAAAGTAACTAAGTTAGTGTTTCTCTTTGTTACAAAGGCAGGTAATATGCAAGTTGCATGAGTACTTTAAGTATCCTGTGGACTTTCCCTATGGCAATATACACACAATATGCACAGATGATTTGCAGTTTTGTTGGTTGATTTCATGGCTGAGAAAATATTCAATCACTGAACCCAATCAGAGCAGAAGCAATTAATCAATTAATCAATTAGTCAACTGTCAGAAAATTAATTGCCAAGATTTTGGTAATCAACTAATATCTCGGGTAATTCATCAAGCAAAAATGCCAAATAAATCACAGGTTCCATTTTTTAATATGTGAGGATTTGCTGCTCTACTAATTTATTTTGGTTGAATAAAATAAGCATGGTGACATCACCTTGAGCTTTAGGAACTTGTGATGGATATCAGTCACAATTTTTTGACATTTTTAGACTAAACAATACATTTTAAAAATTCAATAGATTAGAATGAAGACAAATGTTGCAGACTTAAACCTTTTCAGATGTATATAACTATGTCAGATTTCCTGTCCTTTTTTCTCCCTTCCAGTAGATTTTATATCATTTTCTTACTTTCTGTCCATTGATATTATATTTATTGACACTAATTTTGAAGAGAAACAGGACAAAGATGTAACAAAGACAAAACAGTGACAGATGCTGAAAGATGTGAGACTATTTGTTTTACTGTCTAAGTCAAACTGTACCTGCATATTGCTTCATCTTCTCATGCGCTGTAAATTAATTAAAATATATGAGCCAAAATCAGACAAACAGCAGTCATGTGTTCAAGCTGTGGTCAGTGACATTCAATTAAAGCTGCAGTTTTTTACATGGAGTACTGTTGTAGTGCAGAGATCATTGACCTTGAGTAGAAAGCTTTTTCAAAGCCAACTGGATCTGCTCTTCAGTGTTGGCCACGCCTCTCCTTACAGTCCCCAAACATGTGTCTGAATGGACAGTGATGTCAGAGCAGGCTTTGGCAGATGGAGGTGAACTCAGAGCCGGAAACCTCTGACAAAATAAGACAAATAGGAGAGAAATGGCTTTAAAGCAGAGATGAGACCAGACAATATGACATGAGATGGGAATAAAGATGACACTGTAAGAGCAAACTTCACTTTAGTTAGAGAATCCTTTTCTTCATAATGCTGTCTGACAACTCTGCTTCTAGTATCGATTTCTCCCTGTATGACAATCACATTTACGGTCAGTTTTTCTCTCTTATTATTGAGAAGAAGAAGTGCCTCTTGTTGCAAGACAACTGACCATGACAAATGATCCTTCTTTCATTGAAACTCAATCTCTTAATATTGTTTCAGGCTAATGATAGAAATTACACTGGCTGCTCATTTTTCCATTTTGCTGTGAGTTGACTCCTGACCTGCAGAAGATGCAGGTGGTCCTCAGAGTGAGAAAACTGCACCATCTCACTTCTCTTCCTCTCCAGCTCACTAATTTCCAGCTCCAGCTCTGTGATGAGTCTCTCTGCCCTCTCTTCTTCTGCTGCCTGCTTCTTCTGGATCGTGTCCACCAGCTCAGCCTGACTTCTCTCCATGGAACGAAACAGTACAGAGAAGACCTCCATGCTTTCTCTAATGTCCCTCTTTGAGTTTTGCTGGAGATATTGAATAAGGAAAAATAACTAAATGGGTTATACAGTACATATGGATAAAAGGAATGTATTGGAGTGTGCATAGCAGAAAAAATATTGTACTACTGCAATCTGAAAACATACATTTACTTGAATGGGACCTTTTGGACCCCATACGAGGGGTCACTAAATGGATGTGAAAACCATATGAATCATATGCTATGGCCTTCGCAGTCTTTGAAGCTGTTCTGGCAGCTTATTGTGGCCAAACACCTTACTAAGACACTTTATGTTGGTTTTTCCTGTAATTTGTCTGTGTGTGTATATATACAACCAATATATATATATATATATATATATATATATATATATATATATATATATATATATATATGTATATGCCATAGCATATGCGAAGGCATATGTGAAGGCCATAGCATATGATTCATATATATATATATGTATTAGTTGAATTGGTTAATTAAGTTTTACGTTTCTTCTGTATGTTGGTTGCATGTTTTCAGCCTCTTATCCTACATTCTTATACATTCTAAAGTGCTGCTTCTATGGCCCAGTTTTCCTACAGAAACATCCAGTGATCTTATATGAACTCACTTTGCTGAGCTCCACAGAGTGTTTGATCTCCTCCACTTTCTGCAGCCTGTCCTGGATCATCTGCTTAACATCAGCCTCAATCCTTTTCATCTGAGCCTGAACATTTCATACATTGATTAAAACCAAAACTGGAATCAAAGTCCAAAGGCTATCAAAGAATTTGATGGGATGTTTAGGACCTCACCTTCTTTTTCTGACTCTCTCGCTCCACTGGGACAGTGTCATGACAGCGGTGGTCGGTCTCAGTGCACAGCACGCACACACACCTCTGGTCGCTCCTGCAATACAGTTCCAGGAGCCTTTGGTGCTTTTTACACATCCTGCTCTCCAGCATTGCAATAGGTTCAATCAACTTGTGAATCTTCAAGGTGGCAACTCTCAGGTGAGGCTCCAGGTGGCTCTCACAGTACGAGGTCAGACACATGAGGCAGGACTTCAAAGCCTTTGTTTGCTTCCCAACGCACACATCACAATGGATGCTTTTTCCTGGTATGATGTCATTCTGCCTTCTTGCTCGGATCTGCTCTGACATTTCCTTGGCGAAATAGTTTTCACAAAGCTCTGGGCGGCCCTCAAAGACTGTCTGACATTTAGGGCAGCTGATGGCAATGCTGCTATCCCAGTGTGATGTGATGCAGGTGAAGCAGAAGCTGTGACCACAGGGAATGGAGACTGGCTCAAAGAAAACATCCTCACAGATGCAACACTGAAACTGCACATCTGACAGGAGAGTGCAGGGTGAAGCCATGACCTGAGAAAATAAGAAAGAAGATCAGTATTAACTGATTATGAAGAAATAAATAATTCTGAGTCACAGAGGAAATTTATTTTGGTAGCATTACCAATCACTTTAAAAACAGACATTTACCATATGGTATAGACCACAGAATTTTCTCCCTTTTGTCATTAATGTGGGCACTATAACTACTTTTTTGTACAACCAGAAACATCTGAACTTGCTTATCATTAACTTTAAACAATTCACAGCTGCCCACTGGCCAAAGTCCAGCTGCATGACTCAGCTTCTCACTCACTCTCAGAAACTCACTCTCAATTCAGCTTCAGTCATGGACTGAATACACTAGAAATAAAATCCAAATACTAACATGCATGCTCCTTTCCACCCAGTGTAACTCATCATCCTGCAAGTGTTTTACTGTACCATGCTCCCATAATTGTCCACCCCACCAAGAGATGGCAAATGGCTTCAAGTATTAGTCCCTCTTATATTCCATTATACCTGCCTGGTAAAAGACATCATAGATATCATTGAAATTATTGTATCTGTTTACTTAAACATACCCATCTGTTAGTTTGTCTTGATCTTACCTTGTTGCTCAACGTGAAACTTGACCTCTGAGGTAGCAAAGGCAAACACAGGGACTGCAAAGCTAAAGTCCTCCTTGTTTTCTGTTACCACTCCCTCTGGGATTTTTTTCCCTCCAAAGCTTTATAACCAAAATGTTTTTCCAAGGTGGGAGGAGTAATGTCTAGATCAGCTGCCTCACTGGGTTTGTATTGTGTAGCATTTCTTTGTATTGTACTATATAATAGTGTTATATTTGCACTGTTTTGAAATGCATTGCAAGACAATCACATTTATCACTTCACCACTCAAAAGGCTCTTTATTTCAAATTGACAGGAACATACTATGTATATTCACACACATCACAATACTGTAACAGTAAAATCTTAACACTGACAAACAGACAGCTTTTGAGCAGCATGACTTGACTATTACAAAAGCGATGAGGTAATTACAGTGCTGTATATTTGTTTTGGTAATGATCCCTGCACGTGTTATAGCTACATGGAGCACATGAAGTAAGAAATGTATAAAGTTCTTTCAAAACATCACAAAGATAATGCTATGCACAAAGGAAATAGAAGATCTGGACAATTAGTTCTGAATGGTAGTGAAAAAAAACAAAAACAAAAAACAAACAAAACTTTAGAAAGACATTTGCTTTCTCTTTGAGTAACATTGATTATCAGTGCATGCTAAAGTTGCTAAATGGTACGTTGAATTATTTTGTATAGTAAATACAAAAAAGTATATTAACGTCATTAGTAATGCATACTGAATAGTATTGTTGTTTCATGAATTTGGGATAGGGTTATTTTAAGAAAATTCTCCAAATAGGTGAAACTACATTTCATTTGATAAAATTGATTTCCCATCATAATTTTTTTGCCATTCACTTCAAGGAAAGCAATTTAAAATGTTAAATCTCTAATCAACATAAAAACTTGTTTTTGCTTTGCAGAACCATATCATCTTGTCTTTCCTTCACTGGTCTCATGTCTCAACAGACTTAACCTTCAGGGACATCAACTGTGTAGTGTATGTTTTATAAATCATGTTTAATCTTTTGTATTTATAAAATCATAACGCAGGTATTTATTCTTTGGTTTTGTAGACACACAAGGAACATTAGCCTAGTGTCTGATTTAGCACGTGTTAAATACAAGAGATACATAACAGATAATGAAACACAAGATAAATATAGTATAGTTGTGACTGGGTATAAATTATAATTAAGATGATGAGAACAAGTTTATTAATCAGATACACAAAGCAAAGGCAAGGGACAATAAAATTAAAGTAAAAATGCATATACTTACGAGGCCCATTTGTTCTAGCTTGTAGAGTCAAGGTCAATTTTGGCATAATGGAAGGAAAAATACGTTCAAATAAATTCATATTTTCTTAAAATCTCTAGAAAATGTAATATGTACTGTACATGTCTGCATACTGTATTTTGGTTGCATGATATAAAAACTGACAATAAAATGAAACATACTTTACATTTTTACATTACATAACAAAGAAAAGAAAGGTAAGATTATGTTGTCATTGTCCTCTTACATATGCTCAGATGACACTCATGAGTGAACAAGGGAAGGAATGAGGAAACTGAAGGGAAAGTCTTTGGTACATGAAGGAGGAAGGGAATTGATTTTTAAATGTAAAAAGAAAATGATACTATCGCTGTAGGTAATTATTATTAACTGTCCAACAACTGCTCACTTTTAAGGAGAAAATGTATCAGCTCTTAAGCACATTGGGTTCAATTTAAGCTACTGCTTCCACTAACTGAGAAATGAAGAGGGTTGCGGTCACATTACAGTAATGACATAGTGAAAAAATTAAATATCTCACCAGTAATTGCAGTGATGTTTACTCCATTGCTTTTGACGTTCTCAAACACAGAGACGGGAGTGAATGTGTATTTAGTTCCAGCAGTGAGAGATGAGACTGTGTGAGTTACTGGTCCATCTCCATCTGGTGCAGTGATGTTTAACTCTGCACCATTAACCTGGAGAATAAAGCTGACATTGTTGTTCACTTTATTCCACTGCAGTGATACTGATCTCATCTTGTCCAGTTGATCTGAAACTTTCCATGTTTGGAGGAGCTGAGATAGAAAATGAGAAGTGAGTAATTGTATCAAGAAAGTATGGTCTTCAGAAAAGTCTTGATCCCTGTCAACAGTGGTATATATTTAAATTCTTGTTGCATCCATCTGTTGCTCCTTCCTTGCCATTACTGTTAGTAAGTACAATTCATCATCCAGTAGCTGTGCTTAAAGCAAGATATGGAAAAATATCGCCAGCTTTCAGCCACATGTGGTTCAATTTAAGTTATTGCTGCTGCTAACTGCTTCATTTTGCTACTTGCAATTACAAATGCTAACAGCAATTGCTACTTCTAACTGGTGTTGACCAGGAAGCTGCTGCACATTAATGCAAATGCGTGAAACATTAGACAACCATAATTATGTCTATGACACAAGTATTTGAAAATATGTCTCATCATTTAGTATGTTGCCTTATGTACACTTCTGATACAAAACAAAAGATACAAAACACAGTGATGAAGTTAAAAGTCTTACCTTTAACTGCAGTGATGTTTACTCCACTGCTTCTGATGTTCTCAAGCATAGAGAAGAGAGTGAATGTGTATTTAGTTCCAGCAGTGAGAGATGAGACTGTATGAGTTACTGGTCCATCTCCATCTGGTGCCATGATGTTTATCTCTGTAACATTAACCTGGAGAATAAAGCTGACATAGTCGTTTATTCCAGTGCAGAGTGATACTGGTCTCATTTTGTCCTGTTGAGGTGAAGTTTTCTGCATTGGGTGGAACTGATACAAAGAAAGCAACTCAGTGTATAAGACTGAAAGTATAAGAATTGTTGGTTTGTTGTTTCTTAATTCATAAGGTGTTTGATGCATATAACATATTTCGGTACATCATGTTGACTTATTATATTACTGACATAATCACTACTCCTAATGATGATTAACTCCAACTTGCAAATCACTTGATCATTTCACTACTATCCTGTAGGTTCAATCTACTCCATACTTTTTCAAATAAAATGATATACTGACAAGAATTATTTACATATGTATATAGATAATGAGTATGGTTTTGCCATTAGTTCACAATGTTTAAAAATCCAGTTTTTATCCTCAGTGACTGTCAATGTCCGATTTCTTATACTAAGAAACAAACAGAAACATATACACATCAACGTGCAGCATAAGTAATGACAACATAACATACACAAAGAAATCCATTGCAATAGTGATTGTTTGGAAATATAGTGCATTATGTGGCAATTTAAGGATTTGATAATGTGTTCAACCATATGGAGAACATAGCCATTTAACTATCAGCAACATAATCACCTGACAATTCTGAGCAAAATTTACTGTCTGTATACCTATATGTATTTATTGCAAAGAAAGAGGGTTTTTTTATCATCAAGGGGGAAAAGTTTAGCCTGCTTAACAGCCTGTCAAAATCAATCCTCTCTTCTCTGGTATGAGCATTCATCTATATTGTATAGCATAAGCAAACATATAATGCACATGTCTCTCAGACTTCCAAATAGAGAAGAGTATAACCATGCTACGTGTACAGTAATTCACTGTTGGCTCTCCTCAGACTGTGCACTGGTCCATCTCAACCTAGATAGACAGACAGACATCAAATAATGAAAAGTTTACATAGAAAGATATAATTATATTTCATAAAAATATATTATTAATATACATGTATTATGTATAAAATGTTTCATATCTTGTTCTCTGCTGATGGGTATGTTGATGATCCTGACAACACAATATAAAGTGGCAGTGTCCATTTTCATCCACTGCACACATTTAAATACATTTTCAAGCTAATTTTGTGTATTTCTGAGAACTCTGACCTCTTTTTTCTCTGTTTTATTGACCAAGTATCCACTATGAAAAATAAACCACACACTGTGGTGTTCACCCACTGATGTAGCACTGGTGTAATTGAATTTAATTCCAGCAGGTGATGCTCACAGCCACATTTATACAGAGGCCTATTTACATTATTCAATATTATACCATAGGAAATATACAAAGATATATTTCCATGTATTTGTTGGGCTACAAACACAAATATTACAAGTCAGTACAATTGTAAGTGTACAATATTGTGTAAATAAATTTGTACAGACTATTATACTACAAGGGACAGAAATTAGAGCAGTATTTTACCTTAGAAACATTGTTGACATTGTTTTATAATCCTGACAGTTTTTTTTCGAAACAGTCTCCAAGAAAGCTTTTGCATAGTATAGCAGTGTATATTTCTGAAGTATCTACGAACAATTAAGCCACCTCACCACCATGCTCCTCACAGGTCAAATATGACAAATCAGGCTCAAACAAACAAACAAACAAACAAACAAACAACACACACACTATGAGGTGTATACACCTTGTTCATCTTCCTAACATGCAGCCAGTGCGCCTGTGCAGCAGGAGAGTGAAAGCGGAGGCAGATGTTGCCTTCAAGGCTGCCGACAAAAATCGGAATTATGAGGAGAAACAGAGAAATTACAAATACAAAAGATGGATAGGATCTAAGTAAGGGAGTCAGCATTTATGAAAATGTCTTTGTGGAGAATGGGCACAGAGAAGACATTGTAAAGTAGTGTTGTCTTTGTAACACTTTGATTACAGATTAATGTTGAACATGCTGTAATCCGGTGTGGAATAGATGTATTTTTATTTTTTTTAAAAAGAAGAAGATATTGACAACTTCAATAATTCCACTTGAAATCTTCTTATTTTGAATCCTATTTTAATGTGTGAATGGTGATAAAGAAAACCTGTGTTTACAGCTATCTGTACTGTTTAGTGTAGCTAGTGTTCCCCTTTGATTTTTTTCTTTATTCTTCATTCTTTTGCTTCATATTTTGACTAACTAAGTTATACTACTATAATGATAGAAAACATTGTTTAACTATCTATAGTAATTGTTCTATATTTCACGCTCCCATCCCCCACAGCACTAAACGGCTGACAAAGTTAGCAACCACTTTTAAGCCAGTTGATGAAAATACGTCAAACTAGCTAACGATTAGCTAAGGAGATGGTGAGGACTAGAGCTAAAAGGCAAGCTAATATTGGACTTAACGTTACATTTATATGTGATTTATATATGATAAAACTGGTCTGTGTAGGTGTATGTCAGACGTGACCGGTTACCGTTAAAAGTTGTGGAGGCTGGCTGTCAACTTCTTCCGTCCCCTGCTAGCACAAAACATTATAATAGGTCGGCCATTTTTATCTCCACACAGGCGGTTCTGTTCCATTACGTATCCAACTAAGCAAGGCAAGCAAGGCGACACACACAACACCAGGGCCGTGGAAGTCACTTACCTAAATGGAACGCAGCTATTATTATTAACGATATGGGATACACCTGTGTTTTTCCTCCTGTCAAAATCTCTACAATTAAAATTGTTGATGCAATTTTTTTTTCTACTGGATTTTTACAGTCCCATGGCATAAAGAAATATAAGGGAGAATTATGATTTTTCTTATATTTGAAATGCAATATGGAAAGCACTTTCAATTATCTGTGCATGAAATATGCTTTGCCTTGTCGAAATAATCATAATTACACTAGTTTGCTTTGTGATTCAGACAGGATTTCTACTGTATCATCTGTATTACTATCTAAATCAAACTAATATTTATCAATGAACCTAAAGTTAACCAGTATGAAGCAGGGTAGGCGTGTCTCTTTGCATTTTTTTTTCATGATCCTCAATTATGATAAATCACGTGATTGTACCTGCAATTACAACTTTGGTGCTTGTGAGAAGGAGTTTCCGCTGGTCACCTGAACGCAGCACGAGTGCTCCAGCGATGTAGAGAGAAGGAGAGGGAGAAGAGGAGGTGGAGGCAGATCGAGGAGAAGCATGAAGAATATCCCCGATATCTAGGCTGACAGACGGGGAGAGCATCTCGTCTTCCCTCGCTTATTTGGAGCCGACTGGAAGCGGAGGGAGGCAGCGGGGTTGAGGACAGGATGGAGGAGAAGAAGCAGTTTCTTTGTGGGGTGGTGGAAGGTAAGAGCGGCCGACTTCATAACTAACCTTCTGTCAGATCATGTGATTTTTTTTCTTACCCCGGGGAGATGATTTTGAATAGACCACCGTTTGACCTACATTTGCAAACAAGCGTTTCGTCCCCTAGTGTAAGGGGGCGTGGGAGTGGTAATATACACTGAAATAGGTAGGATATAAAGGTATTTATTAGATGGTGTGGTGGTGATCAGTCAGGCTTGCAGTGGAGATCAAAGAGCAGGCGGTGAAAAGCATTCAGTACTGTCTGGTTCAAAGGCTGCAGTGTAAGGAAAGGAAATACTCTGCTTAATGGCTGGTGGCAATGAAGATGATGATGACAGTGATTCCAATGGTGATGACTCTGATGACGATAACTGTTAATTGTGGAAACAAAGATGCTGTGATGATGCTCATAATAATAATAATGGTGAAAGTGAAGATTGTGATGATGATGACGATTGTAATGGTGACTGGAAACTAGGATGAAGTTGTTTGTTAGGATGACATGACAGTAATGATGATAATGGAGATACTGTGGCAGGATGTGAGGAAGAAAGCTGTAATGATGAAGATGATGAAATAATGAAGAAGACAGTTTGAGGACCCCAATAAACAAGAGTATTGATAATGATAATGTGATGAGAATGTGGATAATGATGATAAAGAAGAGGAAAAGATAAGCAGAACACTAGCACACAGAATAATTACTGCAGAAAATGGAGAGGAAGAAGGAGAAGAATCTGATGATGAAATTTATAGAAAGAAGGTGGTATTTGTGACATACACCTCTCCCTTAACACACCCTCTCACATCACAACCACACACACAACATGCAAGTACGCCTCTTAATGTCAGTATGTGATAAAGTGATTATTCCAATGGTGAGATGACACAATACAGTGCAGAATATGTCATACATGTTAAATGTGAAGAGTTTCTAATATTTTTTCACCAGACAACAACAATAATAATCCACATGCATTTAATACATTTTTGTTCATACTAGTTAGAACAGGTGAAAACAGATGTTTTCATCAAAACATCATACAATTATACAAAATAATAATTCACTACTAACAATTTTTACTGTTTATTGTTTATAGCTGTGAAGCCACGATACCACAATGTATTGTGTTTAGTAGTTATAATGGAGATGAGATAAACAGAAAGGTGGCTTATTAATAGTGAGAATAGTCCTATGTGATAAAAATAATTATTTCTTATAACAGAAATATGTCTGTCATCTTTCTAAATAAGCTGTATTGCTGCAACTAAATATACATTGTCATCAGTTATTTTTAATTAATGGATTAATCAAGTCTATGAAATACGACATGGCAAGTTCCCAGAGCCATCCTTAAATGTTTTGATCAAAACACCAACATATCCTAATGAAAATGATAAAAATAGATGTTTGCATTGTTGGTCATTAAATGTCTTGAACGACAATTGATTATTTAATAGTTGCCACTTGCAACTTTGGTCAGTTGACTAGCTGCTTCTGCACTGGTGTCTTTGTCCACTGTTTCAACTCTCCAGCTCTTTGAATCTCAGCTAATCTGGTTTCACAGCCTTTGGGATGTGTTTATTGTCTCTCTCTCACTCTCCCTCTCCTTCTCTCTCTCTCTCTCTCTCTCACACACACACACACACGCACACACCTTTATCACACCTTGGTGGACCCCCTCAAACCTCTGTGTTTCTCAATCCCATGTGGTGGCATCCAACAGGGTTAGTAATTGAGTCTGGCTTAGTGGGGAGCACTTCACAAGCCCACATGCATGTGCACAGGTAGACATGTCATACACATGTACAGCAAAATACACGCTCCCCACAGGCATGCGGGAGAAATCACACTGGATTGTTCATGGATCTGATTTACTTGTCACTATGACCCACTTACTGCACACACATACACGAACCCACACACACAGACACACACATAGCAGACTTATTCAAAAACACAAAGGAGGGAGAGGGACCCTAGAGATGCTCCCATTTCTAAAAGAGCGGAGCTGGAGATGATTTATGCCACTGCCAAGCACAGAGGGGATGTGACCAAGTAAGCTCTGGAGGACTTTTCATTGCTTTATGCCCATACATAGAGTGCTGTAGCTGTAATGTCAGCGAACACTGCCCAGTAGCTGAGAAGTGTCCAGTTTGTGAATAAATGCTGCAGAGCGGCAGATGAACTGTAAAACAGCCTAGTGAACTATATATGACATTTACTAGTACAGGCCATCAATGTTAAACTGAAAATTTTACAATGTAATTTAAATTTTCAATGTACTGAGTCATAAACATAGGGTGCATTTTCTTTTTTTCCCATGATGCATTTCAGTGAATATACATATATATATATATATATATATATATATATATATATCTAATTACGAAAAGTGTGGAAAATATTTGCATTGAAGATAACATTAATGGAAAAAGTCTCTGTTTCAGTGTTTACACATTTACTTGTCAATAAAGATGCAAATATGTAGAATATGTCATATGTAGAACAGGATTTTCACAAACTATCACAGCATAAGATAGTAAACAGATGAATTATAGAAGCAGTCTGCATGATTTTGCAGAGCTTATCAGTACTGTAAGAGGTGTTAGTTAGGTGTCAGTTGTCATGTGTATGTGAAGGATTCATAGCCTCATCCACCGCATTAGTAATGTGACATGTATGCAGTTATTTAATTTTTCTTTTTCCTATGCAGGATTCTATGGGAGGCCGTGGTCTATGGATCAGAGGAAAGTTCTCTTCCAATGGTGAGTCTGTTAACATTTTTTAAAGAAGCCAATTAACCAGGTGTTTGTCTATAACCCTGCATGTGCTGCTCTGTATGTCCACTGTGATCACAGTTGTGCATATGTCTTGTTAACTTTGTCAGATGGGATGTTTTCATGTTCACATGAATAGGTTGAACTCAGGAGCCACTGACCTGACGCCTCTGGCCTAAACCCAGTTGCACACGTTTATTTCAGTGCCAGGCAGACCAGAGAGAGATCACTGACGCAAAATGACACCATAGCAAAGGGCAGGCTCATCCTCAGTCCTGAGGCCCAGCCATGGATGACAGATGGGGGCGAGGGAGGGGGCAGATGTATTTTTTTATGGTGGAAGGATAGAGAAAGAGGATGATATATGAGATGCTGGCCATTTGGTTCCCTACCTTTTCTTTTAGCCATGCTAGCGTCGCAGCGCTAGGGATGGTACTCTCTGTCTGTCAGTCCATCACTTTGGTCCAGACTGAAGTATCTTAACAACTATGTTGAGGATTGCTATGACATTTTGTACAGATATTCACGGTGCCCAGAAGATGAACTTTTATGACTTTGGTGATTCCTTGACTTTTTCCTCCCGCGTCATTTGTGGTTTTAAATGAAAGAAACTATTAGGTAGATTGCCATGCACCTTGTTACAGGTATTCATGTTCCCCTCAATATGAACTGCAATAACTTGATGATATTCTCATTTGCCTCAGCTGTACTTTGCATTTAGAGCTATTTAGCCAATGTTTGCATTGTACTGCACTAAACTAAGACCTGCTGAAGCAAGTCTCACAGCCACCAGCATGGCTGTAGACTTGTCCAGTGTCTGCATGTCAACACTAACAGTAAATGGTGTGGTACAGAATTTCAAACTCCAGACTTTTTGATGTTCAATATCTTTGTCCATTTAATGACACAAAAACACAAATTCAGTGGGTTGAAAAGCCTCTTAATCAAAGTTTAAATGTGGGTCATGCTGCAACACCATTTATGAAATTCGGTTAAACTATTCAATGGTAAGAGCAACTCCGACATACTCTGTTGTGTTGTAACGAGGAATGAATAAATGGTAGTAAAAGTTATTTTTTGCTACATTTTCTTTATCTATAATCAGTACATTTATGAATGCTAATAGAGAATGTATGTGTCCTCTATGTAACCTTTATTGAGGTAAGTTTTGCTGAGCTCCAAGCTCTTTATTTAGCTGTTTTTTTCCATGCTGAGATGTTCACACCAGGGAGCTTCTCAGCCACTGTTGGCAGACAGAGTATGCTAATACCAATTTAATGCTGAGGTCTCTCTTTTGCAGATGAGACCTAAGCATCGGCATGGCATCATTGAAAAATGTGGACAAACGCCATTTAAAGCAGATACAATCAACATTCAAGATAATCAATAATAGAGATAATCTATACAGTATGAGTGCTCCAAGTGAACGTAATCCAACATAAAGGAAACAGGGTCATGAGCCAAGTCTCTTTTGACAAAACAAAACAAAGGCGGCTCATTGCTGAGTCTGCCCGACAGTTTTTTTTTAACAGTTTCATCACAAAGAGAGACAAGCTCTTACAGCATGAATCAGCTCACAGGGATTTCCATCACAGAGAACTACAGTAGAATACTAAAAGACTATTTCAGTCAAAGCACCATTTAAAGCATCTGCAGTCCATTCATAGAGAACAAAACATGAACACACTAATAATGGAACAACAGTCTGTCAAATATGAGTCAGTGCAGTAATGGAGTATGTAGAGTTCCCTTTTCATTTACATTTATATTAAGTCATGTGCACGCATTGTAGTTATTAGGGACCAATTAATTCTTGAAGACACGCTGATCTTACATATGAGTGGAATGACATAAATCCCTGTTGGGAGCCGTGACACAGTTTTGTACGTCAGCAGCCAATAGGAGCAGCCGTCTGCATCCCCAGAGAGAAGTTGTTCCCTCTGCTCTCTGCTTTCCACTGATCTTAAAAATACAGATCAAAACCATTATATTGCAATTTTTCCGTTCCTATTATTATGATTTTATAATAATAAAAACAGACAATCTGTAACCATGATCTACTCACTATCATGTGCCATGTGATATACGCTTTATGATGCGTGTTGTCTGTACAGGTGCAGCTACACTTGGTTAACCAGGCCATCACCGCTATGAGGATGGATTTGACTTCCAAAACTTTGTCAGTGTGGCAGCAGCTGAGTGTGTGGGCTCCAGGTTTATTTATAGGTTTGCTTTTTTAGACTCAAGTGTGGGGTGCAGGAAAAATTCATACACTGAGTGTTGCATAAGTTTGGCAGAGTGGGGCTACAGTACGTTAGTGTGTGTGCACAATCGTGCATTTGAGGGAGGTAGGCTGCAGCTTTGTGGAGGCGACTTACGTACCATCTGTCCAGGAAATGAAGCAGAGAGAGAGAGAGTGAGAACACAGTCCACCCACAAATGACAAGAGAGAGCTGGTCCGTGTCCAGAGAGAGCGAGAGAGAGAGAGAGAGAGAGAGAGAGCAAGATTCATGTTTTTATTTGTGTGTATGTGTCTGTGTCAATGCATGCTGATGTAGATTTTGTTTCAATCCTAGTACTATGCTCTATTTATAATTCAGGAGGTCATTTCCTGTAACTGAGGCGGGCATGGAGCCCCACGATCGATACACTGGATCTATTTTCTTGCTGCTTGTTGTTTTTCTGTTTTTTTTCCCTCCCTCTGCTCTTGCCTCATTCATTCACTCACTCTCAGCTCATCTTCTCTGTCCCGCCAGGACTCCAACCTCACAACTGATTTACCGCAATACAAAGAAAAAATTATATTTACCAAGTATTTATAGAGTGATGTATAGGATAAAAAGAATTTAAAGCAGAATTTAAATTAAATAAAATCAAAATGTGAGCTGCTGTGTAAAACTAGAGTGGATTCTAATGACAAAAAGATTGAAGTAAAAAAAACTATTTGCAGGTATTATGTGGAAGTGAAAGTTCTGATGTTGAATATGAGAAATTAAAAGCCCTCTCTTACTGTCTTCATTTTCCCCCTTGCTCCTGATTCACAGATTTAGCAAAGACTTGACCTAAAACACTTAACGTTCCTGTCTTTATCCACCAGGATGCAGAGTTGGGGGTTGAACACCTACCTGTACGGTCCGAAAGACGACCTAAAACACAGACTGCTGTGGAGAGAAGTCTATTCTCCTGAAGAGGAGGGTAAGGACACCCCATTGAGCCATTGAGCCATCTGTCAGTCTGTTTGAGCATTCATCCAACCATACATGCAACCAGTTTTTACTGCTGAGCTATGAATTTAATCATTTTCTATCAACTTCTTTTAATTGACAATGTTACAGGAGTGCAATGCTAAATCAGTGGGTTACTACAGCACTTATGTTTTTATAATTTGAGGCTCATTTGACTCCAAAGAGCTCAGACATGTTCTGAGGACTGGCTGCAGACTGGACTTGTTTCCAGATCTGCACCAGAACTGCTGGAGGACATTCTATCTTCCATCAGGGTGAATATTCCCTGTCCCAAATATGAAAATGCCTTCTCGATATTACTATTAAATTAATTTTTCATTACCATCATTAAGGGGTCAACAGTTTTTATGTTGTCCATTATACTATTTTTTATTGTTCCCTGAAGAGTGGACAGCGTTAGCCAGGAGGCTTTAGAGCCAAGCTGAATTCCCCTAGAGATGCTTAAAATTGAGATAAGAGAGAACAGTTAATTATATAGCGCTCTCCGACGTGTGTAATTGTTGTTTGATTTTTTTTGTTCTTATATATGCATTGTATTGAAGGACTTTTGCTAAAAGTCCTGTATTTCTCAATCTGCTAATCTCCCCTCTTTGCATCACACTGCCTCATATATCCTTCCCTCTCTATTAGTTATTTCTCTTTTATTTTGGCCGGTGTGTCTCATTCAGTTTCACTTTAAATTTCAAATGAAAGGTTTTTTCTCTCCCCTCAGCTCAGTTGCGTACGCTCATAGTGGAGGCCCAGTCGAGAGGCCTGAGGTTTGTTTACGCCCTCTCTCCTGGTCAGGACATCGTCTTCTCTTCTGCCTGTGACCTGACGCTGCTCAAACGCAAGCTGAGACAGGTAGACAACATGCGATAAGATTATAAATACTACTGCAATGTCATTGTTTCATGGTTCGACCCATCTCATAAACAACCTCTCTCTCTCTCTCTCTCTCTCTCTCTCTTTAGGTATCAGACCTGGGTTGCCAGGCGTTTGCCATTCTGTTTGATGACATCGATCACTCCATGTGTCAGGCCGACAGCGAGGCCTTCTCTTCATTCGCCCATGCTCAGGTCAATGTAACAAATGAGATCTATCGGTTCTTGGGGGAACCGCCCGTCTTCCTCTTTTGTCCAACAGGTAGGAATGAAGGTGGAAAACTTATGGTTTACAGGATTTCATGCATTTTTTTTCTTAAACTTCAACGTAAGTCTTTCTCTCTCCCTGTAGAGTACTGTGGTTCTCTGTGTTCTCCCAGTGTATCCAAGTCTCCCTACCTGCAGACTGTAGGAGAGGACCTGCTCCCCAACATAACTGTCATCTGGACAGGTGAGAGACAAATGCCATGCTGTATTCCTGCAGACATGAACCAGTGTCTTTAAGTACAGTTTTTGTTTTCTGTTTTTCGCCTCATTAGTTGACCTGCAATTTGTTCTGCTAACAACAGCACACATGCACACACGGGCAAAACAGAGCTCGGCATGCACACATGCAAATAAGTGGAGGCACAAATTCACACACAACCTCCTCCACAGAACAAAAAAACAATGTAGGTGCACATCCGCCCACATTCATATGGAAGTACAGTAGAAACACACACATTTACAGACATTATTGCCTACTCTCTTCATTTCTTGAATTTTATCACTTGACTCTGTTCTCTGCATCAGAAGATATGCTTTGTACCACAAACACAAAGTTCAAATACACTGATTGATGATTATTTTAACAACTTATTCATGTCACTGTCCTGTTGTCGTTTCTGAAAACCTTTCCCTCCTCACTCGATCACAGGCAGTAAGGTCATCTCTAGGAAACTATCTGTAGACTGCCTGGCTGAGGTGGAGTCTGTCCTCCAGCGCCCCCCGCTCATCTGGGACAACCTGCATGCTAATGACTATGACTCCAGACGTCTCTTCCTGGGGCCTTTCAAGGGTCGGGAGCCTCAGCTGAGGAGCCACCTTAGGGGCCTGTTGCTCAACCCCAACTGCGAGTTTGAAGCCAATTACATCCCACTGCATACGCTGGGAAGCTGGTACAGAGCTGGAAAAGAGGAGAGGAAAGGTGAGGGAAGGCAGATGGAAGTAGCATTGATGAGACAGGAGATGTCCCAAGTTAATAAATGAATATTTGCTCTGCCAGACCACAGCCATGTACAGTTAGTGTCATTGCTTTCACAGAAATGTTTAATAAGCTAGTGTTGCTTAGCAACAAACACAATTTTAACCATCTGACAGAAATTTTGCCGATATTACTTAACAACTGAATTAACTTCTAGGAATTAAGGGGGGGGGGGGGGGCAATGGTGATGGAGGAGTAATTGTTTGGTGTGATGAAGGAAGAAATGAGAAGAGAGGATGGTCCCTCTGTGGAGGAGAAACAAGGCGGAGGGCCGGAGGAGGAATAGACTTTAAGGGAGGGGAGAGAGAAGAGATGAAGGGCTGGCTGAGGACTGTGATGTGCATGGAAATGGAAGAGGAATTTTAATGATTACATGAGTGGTAGGGGGAGGGGGATGGGGTGTTGGTAGTATGTGAAGTACTAACCGGATGCAGTCTTTTTGTGTGGTAGGGATCTGACTTTCTGATTTCTGGTGTGGTCCAGTTTTGATGAAAATAAAATAAAAGACATGAACAATGTACAGTACTACTTTCTGGAATAGGGAGAATTATAGGTTGGAGTTAGGGTGACTTCAATCAGTTTCTCCATTGACAGTCACTTCAACAGACCAGGAAACACAAGATAAGGTGTGTTCTTTGAAAGGTGTTTCTTCTTTTCTAGTCATGCATAAATATTGTGTGAAAGAATTTGAGAGTGGTTTTCTGTATTGTGCAGTGTATGAACACATGTAATTTAGTGTCCTCAGATATAATAACACAGTGTTGTATATGCCCTAGATGAGGAGTGTGAGTACTGTCCTGATAGAGCTCTGTCTGCTGCACTACATGATTGGATGGAGGAACTCAACCAACCACTGCAAGCAGGTGAGAAATTATGATTTGGTGCTGTGCTTGTATCAGTGTGTGTTGATATTAGACTGAACTCAAACCCTTCAGCTGCTCAGTCACTTTCATAATCTTTAAGTGGAACACTGAAATCAATGTATACCTTAAAGGTCCCATATTGTATAAAGTGAGATTTCTTTGTCTTTTTCGATTATACATCAGGTCTAGGTTCTATATTAACACTGTGAAAGTATCAAAGCGCTCAGTCCACAGAGAAATGCACACAGCCTATATTCACAATCTGATCCTTAAAACCAGCCGTCAGGACTTCTGTAACTTTGTGATGTCAAAACAAAGCAGTCACCGTTCTCAGCCATGCTCCAAGCCACACCCACCTGGACCCACCATCCAACCTCGCAGGATTTGGTTTCTCTTAATGTTTACCTGAAATCTGTTATATTTTTATTTGATCACTCAGAAAACAGTCAGCCAATCAGAAGAGAGTCTGTTGTTGTCTGTTGTTTCTAGAGCTCCAGAGTGAAGCCTGAGAGAGGAGATGTAAAACTACATTGAGATGTTTTTTGTTTCTTAAAACCACAAATATATCTTCTTATGGATCAAGTTTAAAATATAGGACCTTTAACTGCATTATTTCAGTGTACTGTTGACAGCAAAAATGTATTTTATATTTGAGCTTAAAAACATTACCTGTTTTTAATAATCATAGGTCGACAGAGCACACGAGCAGACCAGCGTTCCTCTGCTCCAACATCTCGTTGCAAAACTCCTGACAGATCTGACTGCCCCTCCACATTCAGAGGCAGCTCTGCTGTGGCCAAACTACCCGTCTTCCCCCTCAACTCCAGCTCACCTCCGTCGTCACCCACTAAGGTCAAAGAGGAATGGGAGGAGCGAGACGGGGAGAACAAGAGGTCAAATCAGCCTAGTCAACCCAATCACCAACCTCCAGGATCCAGACCTGGAGCACCATCAGGTGGAAGCCGGGGACAGAAGGCCCAGGGTCGGGGGATCTGCGGTGGGAAGGGTCTATTAAGTGAGTCCCAGGTGCGGCTGCTGGTTGGTCTTCATTATCTTCCCCATGAACACGGCCCATCTGCCCAGAAACTGCTACAGGATCTGACCTGGCTTAAATCAAACTGCCAACTGGTCAGTGCCAACACCAAGAAGACACCGCCTCAGAAGGTTGGTGTTTGCTTTGTGTGGATTTCATGTGGGGGAAATTTGAATTTGTGTATGTGACAGTCTCTATTTCAGTGTCTTTTCCTGAACCGGAACTAATTATAACCTCAATGTCTGCATTTGTCAAACATATGGGGCATATGTTAGGGCATGGTGTTCACAATAGCAGTGTCCTTACTACCTTGTTGTGTACTGTACATGTATGTCTTCAGATTGATGAGTGGCGTGGTCGGGCCTCCAGGCTCCTGTCTCTGTGTGAAGACATAGCGCAGCTCCACTGCAGCGTGGTGGGCGGGGCCAACAGGGCTGTGCTCTATGACCTTTACCCTTATGTGTGGGACCTGAGGAACACGGCTCTGGTGGCAAAGGCCTTCATATGCTGGCTGGGTAAGAACACAGAGAGATGGAGGCAGGAAAAATACTAGAATAAACAGTAATATAATGTAGTTTTACATAGTACAGTATTGTATAGAATATCATATCTTAGGGAACTGTTCTAAAATATAGTATTCTTTGTTATACTATTTGATATTCTATAATCTTTCTAAACACAGAACATTACATATGTAGTAGTTGTGTTAGAAGAGAGAGGGCTTGGGATAGTTGAAGAGGTTGTGTAAATGGAGTGTGGTGTTGCTGTCTCTTTTTAATTACTCTGTTGCCTTACACTTCACCCCACCCGCTCACTTACCTCGCTCAGATGGACGGGTGTTGAGTGACAGCTCCACCCTGGGCTCCTGGAGGAACTGCTTCCACTGTGAGTAGGCACGACCTTTAAATTGACGGTCTCTCTATCTATGCCTGAAATAACGAAGTACAAGTAGCCTCTGCAGCACCGAATCATTCTTACCTGCAGTAAATTCAGCCTGACAAATCGCCACCCAACACTCAGTCATTATTTCTCAGCACTGTCTCGATGGAGCTCAGTAATTAATGGTGCAGTTCGTCCTAAACCACCAGTTATACTTCAAATATAAATGGCAACAGCATAAAAACAGAAAAGAAGTTAACTTCAGCCAGCATCTCTTGAGGAGCTGTATTGCTGTAAAACACTGACCTTTAATGCTGGGGTGAATATTTAAAGCAGGTGTAACTGCGATCATTTTTCATCCCTGCTAATAACTTTCCTCACATTTCATTGGTTCATAACCACATGATGTCACCGCCCTGACATTTGGTGTGTGTCTGTGGTAGGGTGTGGCAAGACCACAGGAGCCGACCTACTGGGAGTCGAGTCGGAGCCATGGGTGTTTAAAGGGGGGGTGTCTGGGGAGGTGCAGGTAGGAGTGTGTTCTCATTTTCCAATTACTCCTTTTTTATTGTGTATGTGTGCATGCTTGTATTCTTAATTTCTTCTCATTACTTGATGTGGTGGTTCAGAGCTGTTATCACTCCATTAACTGTGTGTTTGTGTGCTGGTTTGTAGATGCTTCTGCCCATAGGCAGCAGCAGTGAACTCTTCAGTCATCCTCCTCCTCTCTTCCCTACCTCTCGTCTCTATAACATCAGGCCCTACCACAGCAAGGACAAGGTACGGAGTCACACCCACACACACACACACACACACACACACACACACACATTATTATATCACACGTAATGCCAGGATAACTCATGGAGTATCATGGAAGTCAAAGAGGTGCTTTCAAGATTGGGAAAGTGAGGGGATATGTGTGTAAGTTTCTAGACTTGCTGTTTTGGAAAGTACACTATTCACCTCTTTAGAAAAACAGCCTGGAAGCAAACCAGGAAGGAAGAACATTTTTAGGTCATGCAGATGCTCCGACTTAGTGATGGAAAGTCATGGAAAATTTATGGAATTTTCAATCAGTGCCACAGTAGGATCCTTATATGGAGAAATGATACAACATTAAACAGAGTTTTTAAAGGGTCCTGATTGTTCAATTACCTGTAGATTATCAGTTCAACATTTCCTCACCGGTGTGGGATGGATGGATAATAGATAGATTTTTTCATTGTGTGTGTGTGTGTGTGTGTGTGTGTGTGTGTGTGTGTGTGTGTGTGTAGGTGGAGTTGTATCGGATGGTCCGCCAACTTCACCTGAGGACTCAGGGTGGTCAAGAATCTAGTATTGCTCACCCAGATGTCATAGGAGACAGGTATGTGGCTGAGAGAGAAAGAAAGAGGAGATTCAACATTTTCACAATATATATATGATATATATATATTCACATATTTTTAAAATAATCATGTCTTTTCATTTCCATAGATGTCTCGGGCCGTGCCTGGCGTTGTGCCCAGAGTATAGCTTTATCCTGGAGGATGAGCTGGGTGTGTGTGGCTGTGTGTTGGGCATCTTGGATGTTCGCTCTTTTGCCAAGCGGTGCCAGGCCACCTGGATGCCCGCCATGAGGGACAAATATCCACCCAAGGGAGGCAATGCACACCCCAACACACAGGTGAGTATGAGGAGTAGTCTAACCATTTTGCAGACAGAAGCTCATACCCAGCAACACACACATAAAATTATGCACACGAATGCTTAGATGTATCAGTACCTGCAGTCACACCATCTGGATCCCTCTGTGATGGATTAATGACCCACTGGGAGATTGGTGGCACACACAGGTAAACAAAGTAAATGACACACAAAAACACTCACACATACACACACTCACTCTTTACAGAGACACACCTCATATTTTTGTTGTCTCTTGTTGTACTCTCCTGTTCAGCAGCGCACAACATTGGCAAC